CAGTTTTCTCAGATTTGTCATTTTTGGGATCACCATTGCATAGATTCATGTGACCATGCAATTTCCCTTTCACACTAATAATCTGAATCTATTTGCAAAAAAACTAGATACTGTATATTTATATACTTGAAGAAAATTTATTACTATTGTCACCACTATCAGCAAGTCTGTCACTAAAGAAAAGCTAAGATTCGCATAACGAAGATAAGTGTTTTTATTATATGTAAGGCGGATTCGATTATGGCTGAAAAATGATTTTTATTAATTTTTCTTTCACCAATTCTTTCGTTGTTCTGTTTCTTTTTCTTTCGGTACATGGTTCTTTTATACATTTCATTCAGTAATTACGTAAGTATTTCAATGAGAAAAATAAAATAAAAAAATAGAGAAAAGTAAAATAAAAATAAAGTAACGAAATTGCAGTGAAGCTATTATATAACACATCATCATTATTATCGTCATCTTACATAATTGATTAATTTTTCCAAGCAGAGACGTGGCACGTGACTTCATCCAGTCTTTCTCTGCTTATGTTATACTTCCCACCAAAGCCTCCCAATATCTTTATATGCATCGGCTATTGTTTTGTCATGGCTTGTTTTTTTTAATTATGGCATGCAACATGTCTTGGCATCTCATATTGGTGACATTCACATCGCCACTTTCCCATGTTACACTATGTAATCCTGAAGAAATTCACTTTCTAACCTAGTATGCACAAGAGAATGGAAATTCAAAAAATGAGCAATATATTATAGATTCAAAGAGACCTTATTGAAAATCGGAAGATACTAATTTTGAAATCACTCTACCAAATGCATTCATAATTTAAGCAAAGCTGAAATGATTTGATTTCCCCTTATAATTGAGAAATGATACTTTATTACCCCCCCAATTTTTTCTTGTAAACGATTTCTTTTATTATTTTTTTTATTTTATTAAAAACACACAAGATGGCCCACGTTGAAGAACTTGTGGACTTTTTTGGAAATGAATACGACGGACGATCAAGAACAGCCACTCCTACTTATGAAGACAATATGTACTCATTTTTGGGAGAGATTTATAGAACTTGTCACGATGCTATGGCAGAAGCAATGAAAAAGACACCTGAATGACATGAACAGATTGGGCGAGAAACGAACTGGGTGCCAGTAAGGATATACTATGGGACAGAACAAGAAGACCCCATAGAATAGATAGAGGCCTTCGAAAGAGCAGCAATGGCAAACAATTGGACAGAACGAAGAAGAACACAGATTGCCTCTAGATACCTCGCCAGAATAGCAGTCAGTTGGTATGATGATAATTGGCGCACTATAGACCACTGGGACGATGATGAACACAGGGATCAAAGTTTCATCCCGAGATTCATGGAATATTTTGCCACCCCGGAATGAAGACACAAATGGCAAATGGAGCTCAACACGATAATACAGAAGAATGAAGAGAAAGTGGATACTTACGTGTACCAGTTCAAGCAGTTGTTAAGATGCGTAAACTCGAAACATCGCCTGCCGACTACATATGTCATACGATTATTCTCTGGCAGATTGAAAGGAAAGATTGCAAGGTTAATGCCACTGGTAGAGCCCACCACACTAGATGATGTGATCGCAAGTGCATGAAAACTGGAAGCAGGAGAATACTATATGGGCAGAAGAAAGGAGAATAACCCAGCCAATGACGCCATCAGCAGCCTAACGAAACAAGTACAAGAAATGTCATCAAAGCTGATCATGATGATAAGAGAAAAAAAAAATACCAGAAACCAGAGTTACCGACCCACCGGATGCTTCAATTGTGGAAGACAAGGATATAGAGCCTGTGAATGCCTCAAGCTGCCAAGGAGAATGCCACCACAAGTTGCCAACCCTCGTGATGCGAACCTTTGCGAAATAGAAAACAGTGACGACAAAGCTTACGTTGCTACTAAATCACGACACTAGCCATACACCATTAATCGTCCTAAAAAGGGTGAATTGAGTAAGGAACTTATTGGAAGAATTGTGAACCAGCCACAACAAACAGAACAAGCATGACCGGCACAACAGGAAGAGCGCACACAATCAACACAACCAGTAGAAATGGAGATCACAGCGGAACCTGCAAAAGAGAAAGTTAAGAATACCACGTCGCGAGTCAAGCGCCAGAGAGGACCATCAGTAGTAGACCAAGCACCCCTATACAACGTTGCAGAAGACTTGTTGAGACAGAGAGCCAATGCCACGTATGCTCAACTATTACAAATTCCGAAGTAACGACAGCACCTGGCACAAGTGTTAAAACGACCTATCATTACCCTCGTGAAAGTTGACTATGTGGAAGACCAGCCTCAACGAACCTTAGCAGCTAGATGTAATGTGAAAATAAGAAACAAACCAGTCGTAGCAGTATTGAATTCTGGAGCTGCAGTGAGCATTATGTCAAAGAAATTGTTTACCAAGCTTGGATTACAGATTTCGGAACCATCTAATGCTGTTGTCATCACCGCGAACAGAACACGGGAAAGAGCTCTAGGAAAATTGAAGGACGTAGCACTACAACTAGGAAGAATCACTGTACCAACAGACTTTCAAGTTATAGAATCCAAGGAGAAAATGATGCTATTAGGAATGAGTTGGTTTAAGAAGTTACGCGTACACCTATATTTCGATGAACAAAAGTTGATCATTACTCACGAAGGAGAAAGCATAAAGTTACCTATTCATCAAGAAAAAGAAGCTAAGATAGAGGAACCGGAAGAGGAGGAGGAAGAGGATTACGAGGAAAATGACTATTTCGACACATATGAGGAAGAAGATCTAGATGAAGTAGAAAGTTATTTGACCGACGATCAAGAGGACTTATACCAACCCATGGATCGACGAGCAGAGCCCGGCAGTATATTTGACGATGATCGAAAAAGTTCCAACACCCGAAGAAACTGAACGACCCATACAATCTCTGGAAGAAGTAATAGAAGAATTAGTAAATGCCAAAGTCATTGACAACAACCAACGAAAGCAGGCTATTCACTTGCTAGAAGAAAATAAGAAAGCCTTCGCCGACGGATTGGATCAACTGGGACAAACTGATGAAGTACAGCATGAAATCGACACTGGAGAAGCGAAGCCGATTAAACAACATGCATATAGAGTATCCCCTAGTGAGCAAGAGTTTTTGGAAGAGGAAATCCAGAAAATGAAGGAAAAGAAACTGATTAGCGAAATTAAGAGCCCCTGGATATCTCCGGTAGTGATAGTCCCGAAGAAAGGAGGAAAATTACAATTGTGCATAGACTATCGAAAGTTGAATGCAGTTACGAAGAAAGATTTGTACCTTCTACCTAGAATTGACGACTTGTTGGAAGCTTTTGGGAAAGCAAATTGGTTTTCGAGTCTAGACCTAGCTAGCGGATATTGGCAAATCAAGATGAGAGAGAGATAGAGAGAAAACTGCGTTTATTACAAAGCAAGGAACCTACGCGTTTAACGTAATGCCCTTTGGGTTGTGTAATGTGCCAGCAACGTTTCAGAAAACTATGGACCAGATATTTTACGAATACTTGGGAAAATTCGTAGTAGTATACCTCGACAACATCAATGTATATTCGACGACTTTTGAGAAGTATGTAGAATACCTATGGAGAATAATCACGAAGATCAGCGAAGCAGGACTAAAATTCAACAGAGAGAAATGCCAGTTATTCAGGACAGAAATTCGATTCTTAGGACACGTAGTAGGACGCAATGGAATCCAGCCGGACGAAAAGAAAATAAGCAAAGTAAAAGAATTTCTGATGCCAACGAACCTAAGACAACTACGAGAATTCATCGGACTTGCATCATATTACTGATGTTTCATCAAGAACTTTGCAACAATAGCGAAGCCGATGCATAAGTTATTAGAAAAAGAAGTGAAATACGAATGGACGCCAGCACAGGAACAAGCATTCGAGAAACTTAAGACTTACTTGATCTCAGCACCTATTTTGCAGTACCCGGACTTCGAGCAAATGTTTTATCTTTACACAGATGTTTCAGGAGTAGGACTAGGAGCCATACTAGCCCAGAGAGGAGAAGATAAGAAGGAATATGTTATTGCCTACGCGAGTAAGAGCCTCACTAGAGCAGAACGAAACTACGCAGCTACAGAATTGGAGTGTTACGCAGTTATTTGGGCCATAGAGCATTTTCACCACTATTTCGGATTTAAGCCATTCATGATAGTAACAGATTATGCAGCATTGAAATGGTTGCATAACACGGCACTAAAAGGACAGAGAGCACGATGGATCTTACGATTACAGCCGTACTAGTATATTATTCAGCATAGAGCCAGACGAAAACACCATAATGCCGATGTATTATCTAGAATTCCGAATTATAAGGAATCAAAGAAAAGAGAAGGAATAGGAGACGAAGACTTAATTAATTATTTGGAAACGCGACCTATCAGAGAGTTGCGATATTGACTGATTGCCGTAATCAAGAAAAGAAGAAAATCTGACGAGAAACACAATCCAGCCCAGGTTGTCGGTGTTCTGACATTAATAAGGATCAAGATGGAACAACAACGATACGACGCGATCAAGACTTACCTATTGTATCAGAAGTACCCGCCAAATTTCGACAAACAACAACAACAACGATTAAGAGCACAAAGCAAATTCTTTCGAATGCAAGATGACCAATTATTCAAGAAGAATAGATCAATAAAGCAAAACAATTTAATTAGAGTTCTGACGGAAGCAGAAGTGGATTCAGTACTAGCATCGATATATGATCACCCCTTGGGAGGCCATTTTTCGAAAGATGCGATGTTTAATAAGATTCAGGAGTAGTGTTACAAATCGTTAGTTGGAAAGTTTGAAATTAACCAATCAGAGTATAGGAATTTTTAGTTACAACTAGTTGTTTATAATTAAAACAACTAATCGATTGGAAAAATTTTAACCAACTAAGATCACTATTCGGGAGTACTATTATTGGCCGCAGATGTATAACGACATACGAGAATATGTTAGGACATGCGAGTGATGCCAGAAAGCCAGAGTAAAGAAGGAGAAGCTACCGTTACACCCTATCCCCGTGATAGCACCTTTTTACAAGATTGGAATCGACATAGTTGGACCTTTACCGATGACACCTAGATTGAACAAGTATATCATAGTAGTGACTGATTATATGACCAAGTGGCCGGAAGCACGTGCCATATGAAGAGACACAGCCGAAGAAGTTGCCAAATTTATCTATGAAGACATTATATGCAGACATGGATGTAAAGATGGGTCCCTAAAGTATTTAGCATATAAAATTTACGTCCCTTTACGTCCATGTCCTCTAGAGGACATAATTTCTAGCTCTTTACTTCAATAGGAACATAATTCCAAAAATGATTTGTATAGATGCTTAAAACTATAAAGAATCTTTGTAGTGTTATCCGTCACGGCGAGTCTGTTGCTAATCCGAAGCTAAGGCTCGCCTACTGATATGGATAGGGGTCTTGATTTGCTTTCTTAACCAAAGGTACGTTATAATAGACTTCCTTCTCTTGATTGCCGGACTAATCCTCTTCACAATTCCGTTGTGCCTCTAGGATCCTTCAGCGGTCAATACTTTCGCAAGGCAAGT